TTTTTTTTTTTTTTTTGAGACGGAGTCTCACTCTGTCGCCCAGACTGGAGTGCAGCGGCATGATCTCAGCTTACTGCAACCTCTGCCTCCTGGGTTCAAGCAATTCTCCTGCCTCAGCCTCCCAAGTAGCTGGGATTACAGGTGCATGCCACCACGCCTGGCTAATTTTTTTGTGTTTTTAGTAGAAATGGGGTTTCACCATGTTGGCCAGGCTGGTCTCAAACTCCTGACCTCAGGTGATCCGTCCGCCTCAGGCTCCCAAAGTGCTGGGATTTCAGGCATGAGCCACCGCGCCCGGCCGAGAAATAGAGTTTCTGATATGTCCTGCAAGTCTCACTGCCAGGCTGACCTTGACATATCTGGAGTGAATCCCGTTGACCGTTTTTCATTTTTGTAGGCAAGCGTCCCTGGACCTACGAGGTGGTGATCCTGGTTGGGTACTCTTCCTGGGACTCTGTGATAAACATTGTCTGAAAAGCCCTGACTTTGTTGTGTCTTTTTCTTCCTTTTAATTTTATAGGAAACGTCCTTTTCTAGATCCATTTCTTTGACCCGACCTGGAATTTCCAGCCTTTCAAGTGGGCCCAACTCTATCCTGTGCAGGGGGCGGCCACCATTGGAGGAAAAGAAAGCCCTCTGCAAAGCCCCCTCTGTAGCCTCCTCCTGGCAGCCCTGGACACCTGTCCCCCAGACTGGGGAGAAGCTGCTTCCAGCTGGGGAGGCTTCAGAGGACTCTTTGTTCACGCCTCGTCCTGGGGAGGGCAGCACTGCTGGGGTGCTGCCCAGCTCCAGGATAAGGCACAGATCGGAGCCCCAGCACCCCAAAGAGAAGCCATTTATGTTCAACCTTGATGATGAAAACATACGGACCTCTGATGTGTGATGGAGCACAGTGCCGTGGGAGGGAGGGAGGGAAGACTTGAGAGAAGGAGACTGTGACTCAGTTTCTCTACCTTATTGGAGGGTAGTCAGAGGCCTTTATGTCACTCATATTCCTGTGGATGTTCTTTGGGAGGGAGGGGCCCATCCAGCTGGCTGTGTGTGTGTGTGTGTATGTGTGTGTGTGTGTGCGTGATATCAGTGCAGTGTATTTAATTTGGGAAGTCACTAGGTTAGACCTGTAGGCATACTCCGTGGAGAGGAAGCTACCTATTCTATTCTAACTATTCCGAGGTCTTCCTGGAGAGGGATTATTTTAGCAGTTCCTCTCCAGAGGGGGCTGGAAGTCCAGTTTCACCACTGACCAAGTTTTATTTCCTTGTCCTTGTTTTAGTTTTTTCATTTGGTTTTCAGTCCAGGTGCCTCGCAGCTCTTTTGGAATGGGCCGGCGTTAGTCTAATCTTAAGCGCTGTGTGTTTTGTACCCTTGCAAACTTGCTTTCTCTTTCTTCTTGCTGTTGCCCTTTGAATGAAGCCTTGTGTGCTTGCATGATCAGACCCTGTAATAGGATGAGTTTCCATGTACTTAACATGAAGAGATACAAAAAGAATCTAGAGAGAGAGAGAGAGATTTTTAATGAAAGAAGCTTGGCATAGAAACATTGATTTAGAGGTTATGAGTTGCTGGCCAGAGATTCCTCAGATAGAAGAGCCTAGAAAATTGATTGTTGGGTGGGCGTGGTGGGTCACGCCTGTAATCCCAGCACTTTTGGGAGGCTGAGGTAGGTGGATCACCTGAGGTCAGGAGTTCGAGATCAGCCTGGTCAACATACTGAAACCTTGCCTCTACTAAAAAATATGCAGAATTAGCCAGGCATGGTGGTGCAGGCCTATAATCCCACCTATTCAGGAGGCTGAGGCAGGAGATTCACTTGAACCTGGGAGGTGGAGGTTGCAGTAAACCAGTATTACGCCATTGCACTCCAGCCTCGGCAACAAGAGTGAAACTCCATCTCAAATAATAAAAGAAAATTGAGTGTCCCACCCAAATTTTAGGGCGTACCTCCTTCCATTTGACAAAAAGATACTATTTCCAGTGTCCCTGGGAGAATTCTTCCATCCAATTTATATGGTGAATTGCTGCCAGCATTCAAAAGAAGAGAGAACTTAGCTTATTTCTGTCGGTAACTTTTATAAGCTAGATCAGTCAATTGTATTTTTAAGTTAAAAATTAGTGACTAGAGGAAGAGACTAAGAGAACTATTTTTACCTGAGTAAATGCTCTCCTCTTCGTGTGTCCAAATCTAATGCAGAGGTGAAAACACTTGATGAGAAAATCCTTAGTGGCTTGAGGGGAATCATGTTTCTTTCAGGACATGTTGTTTCCCTGAAGTCTGTGTCACACTGAGAACTTTTTCTGACTGCACTGCTTTGGAGCTATTCATTTAAACTGAGTTTGGCCTAGTTGTCCTGGTATAAAACAGGAAATCCACACTGTTCCCTCTTTCTCTCCCTTCCATCCCTTCCTCTGCCTTTCCTGTACACGCTGGTGTGCTTTTGCCCTCAGAAATTCTTGGTTTGGGAGTTATTTATGAGTGATTACGACATACTTGGAGCAGCATGATTTCAAGAAGCCATTCCAAATTCTTATAGCTCCTTAGCTCTGGTTTTACTCTCATATGTTCCCAAAGAAAATTCTTTGGCTATTCAAAGAAAGCACAAAATATGTGATGTGGATCTAATGAAAATGGGAACTTGTGAGATCTCCTTAAATATTCCCTGACTCACGGAAAAGATGTCCTCTTTTGGTGTTTACATTGTGAAAATCTACCCATTTATCTCTGTCTTTCTTTTCTTTTAAATAAATTATCTGATAGATTACTATTGCTACATTAATTGGCCATTATAATAAGCTGATTTCTTATTCAGCAAGATCTCTCGAGAATGTGTTACATTAAACATATTTAGAATCCATATGGTATTATCCTGATAAAGGGAAACGAGGACACTAAGATTGTCAAATGGAAATCTTCTTGTCAATTGGCAGACACTTGGGAATTCCACATTAGGGCATTGCTTGTTTTTAATTTTTAAAAGACAGGGTCTCACTCTCTTACCCAGGCTAGAGTGCAGTGGTGTGATCATAGTTCATCATAACTTTGAACCCCTGGGCTTAAGCAATCCTCCCGTGTTAGCTTCCCAAGTAGCTAGGACTACAGGGTTGTGCTACCACGCCTGGCTAATTTTTAATTTTTTTATATGTACAGGGCCTGGCTATGTTGCCCAGGCTGGTCTCAAACTCCTGGGCTCAAGTGATCCTCCTGCCTCGGCCTCCTAAAGTGCTGGGATTACAGGTGTGAGCCACTGCACCTGGCCAGAACATTGTTAATGTAGTTCAATATGAGATAAATTATTATCTTCAGTGAAACAAGCTCTGAAACCATTCTCATTCCTAAATTGTATTTCAAACTTCCTATTTTGTTGATATTTCTTAACTTCTGGCCAATTTTAAACCATAATATTTTAATGTGAACCAAAGATGGTATGTATTTGACCAAAGCAGTTAGTTTTAAATGTATAAAATTGAACCAAATGGAAAAAATAGGGTGGGGATGCAGTATAGATTGGTGACTAAGTGCATAGGCTCTGGAGTAAATCTGAGTTTTTTGTTAAAGGAACTAAAAAATGTACTGCATTTTCTTTGTGGAATAAAAGCCTTGCCTGAGTTGTGCTGTTTTCATAAGGCTTTTGAAGTGGTCTTGACCTACTGTGTGTAACAGTATTTCAGGTGGTCTTCCCTATGGCAGAATAATGCCATCCATTATTCTTTAATTTTAATTTTTAGAAACAGTGTTTCACTCTGTCATCCAGGCTGGAGTGCAGTGGCCTGATCATGGCTCACTGCAGCCTGGACCTCCTGGGCTCAAGTGATCCTCCTGCCTCACAGCCTCCCAAAGAACTCAGATTATAGGTGTGAGCCACCACACCTGGCCACCATCCATTACTTTTGAAAGCTTCAAAAGACTTGCTTACTCAATATCAGCTGATGGTTGATAAAAATAATTTGGCCTTTAGTGTTAAGTGAGACATCATAAAGTTATTGAGCCATGCATTATGGAGATTGGTGTCAGGTCAGAATACTGGAGTTATACATCTATTTCTGAGTTGAATACTCAGCTCCCATGAGAAAGAAAGTAGTTTTAAGGTCCAGCTTCTTAGTCTACTTGAAGCAAAAGTTTTTTTCTTTTCTATTTCTGAGTATAAATATACTCTTATATGGGCTAAAAGGACCCCATGAATAAATAGCAGGTTCAGTAGTTGAGGGGTAGAATTTAGTAGGTTTGTTTTCAGCGTAAATCAGATAACATATGTGGAGGTCACAGCATTTTGGAAATTGAGTGTCCCCAAGTGAGCTTTGTTTATAAACTTTAGACATGTTGGAAGTGGACAGGTTTGTTAAATCTTGTCTGCCAGCATCGTTTTCTTCCTTTGTTCCTTTTCCCTCTCTGTGTTATTGCCTGCGGCAGCCAGTCCTTTATACTAGATAGAGTTCAGATAAAGCAATGTTTGGCAAAAACATACTGTTTGACCTCCTCCCCCTCTGCTTATGAAGGGGTAGCATGATTCTGTGTTTTAAAGCAGTGATGTTTCAGCTGTGAAATGCACTGGCAGTAAGCACTAGGCTGAGTGCATGGAAACTGTTACGCTTCTCATTTTATGTGATCTCCTAATTGGTATGTAGCAAAACTTTTCTAAAACTGTTTTGTGGCTTGTTTTGTAATAAAACCATGTGAAATACTGAAATATGGCCATGTGTTTTTCTAGTACCTTCTGACCACGGGTGGGTGAGCTTTCTTTCTTTTTTTTTTTTTTTCTTTGAGACAGAGTCTTGCTCTGTCGCCCAAGCTGGAGTGCAGTGGCACGATCCTGGCTCACTGCAAGCTCCGCCTCCTGGGTTCACGCCATTCTCCTGCCCCAGCCTCCCGAGTAGCTGGGACTACAGGCGCCCGCCACTGCGCCCGGCTCATTTTTTGTATTTTTAGTAGAGACGGGGTTTCACCGTGGTCTCGATCTCCTGACCTTGTGATCCGCCCGCCTCGGCCTCCCAAAGTGCTGGGATTACAGGCGTGAGCCACCGCGCCCGGCCAAAACTGTAGTCGGCAGGATTCGAACCTGCGTGGGGAAACCCCAATGGATTTCAAGTCCATCGCCTTAACCACTCGGCCACGACTACCCGCCTATATAAATATTAAAAGTGCTCCAGGTGAGGATCGAACTCACAACCTCGGCATTGCTCCGCTCGCACTGTCATATAAGTACCGCGATCAGTCTGCCCCCATTGTCTGTTTTAGGGATTTCAGGAGGTAGGTTCCTCCTCCGGGTAGGGCTAGAGACCTTCCCCTCATTGCCTGGGGGAGAACCTGGCTCCGGGGAGCGGACAGGGGCGGGTGGTAGGGGATGTACGGGTGTGTATGTGGAGAGGTATGCCAGGCTCTGCCCCTTAAAGTTTGGGGGCCGGCGGAGGCGGCGCCATGGCCGGGAGAAAGTGTCTCTCATTTAGGAGCGTTTGCAGGTCCAGAGTGAAGTCACTGAAGAGTGGAAGCGAGGAAGGAAGGAGCAGGATGATTAGACCTCAGCTGCGGCCCGCGGGGCTGGGACGATGCCTCCTGCCAGGGCTGCTGTTGCTCCTGGTGCCGGTCCTCTGGGCCGGGGCTGAGAGACTACATACCCAGCTGGCCTGCCCCGCGGTCTGCCAGCCCACGCGCTGCCCCGCGCTGCCCACCTGCTCGCTGGGGACCACGCCGGTGCTCGACCTGTGCCGCTGTTGCCGCGTCTGCCCCGCGGCCGAGGGTCAAGTCTGCGGCGGGGCGCAGGGACAGCCGTGCGCCCCGGGGCTGCAGTGCCTCAAGCCGCTGCGCCCCGGGCTCCCCAGCACCTGCGGTTGCCCGACGAAGGGAGTGGCCGTGTGCGGCAGCGACAGGCGCACCTACCCTAGCCTGTGTGCGCTCCGGACCGAAAACCGGGCCGCGCGCCGCCTGGGCAATATCTCGGCCGTGCCTGTGCAGTGGGGGGACTGCGGGGATACAGGTGAGCCGCGGGGGGCGCGCACCCTGGGGACACTTTCTAACTCTGGAGGAGCGTAAAGGAACAAGACCTCACTGAGATCGCATAGTTCGCGCGGGGTCCTCCTGCGTCATTTGCCTCCTGGATTCGACCCCTCTCTGTTCCTGATTTCCTTTCCTCCATAACAGGGGCTCTTTACCTTCTGCTACGTGGATTCTCCCTCACCATGCACCTTTTGAACACTGACTTGCCTTTAACATTTTCCCAACTAGGATAGCAGGTCTGGTTCGCTCGAGGCGTACTCTTGACCCAGTATTTCTTCATAGGGAGCAGAAGGGCAGGCCCGCTCAGGAGGAATTACAACTTCATCGCCGCGGTGGTGGAGAAGGTGGCGCCATCGGTGGTTCACATGCAGCTGTGGGGCAGGTAAAGGAGGAGGAGGAAGACCTCCACTGTCCCAGCTAATGGTTTCTGCGTGCCTACCTACTCCAGACCCTTCGCAAGCGTCATTTAATCCTAAAACACCAGTGAGGAAACTGAGACATAAAGAGGTTGAATAACCTGTTCAAGGTCATTTAACCAAAGAGCAGAGGCACAAGGATAACTTCCAAATCCGAGCTCCCCCTGCCCACTTAGGTGGCTGGTGCTTTTTCCCCGTCCTGCCACAGACAAAATTTAAGGTCAGATGTAAGAGCTAGTAGGCATTTTCTTTTCTTTTTTTGAGACAAGGTCTTGCTCTGTCGCCAAGGCTGAAATGCAATGACAGATCATGGCTCACTGCAGCTCCATCTACCAGGCTCAAGTAATCCTCCCACCTCAGCCTTTGGAGTAACTGGGACTATAGGCAGGTGCCACCACACCCAGCTAATATTTGTATTTTTTGGAGAGACAAGGTATTTTTATATTGCCCAGGCTGGTCTCAAACTCTTGGACCCAAACGATCTGCCACCTTAGCCTCCCAAGGTGCTGGGATTACGGGTGTGAGCCACCACATCCAGCTTAGTAGGCATTTTGGTTGTGATCTTGCTCAGCCCCCACTTTGGAGGCAAGGAAATCCAGACCCAGAGAGCAGGGTTAATTTGTCCTATGTTACGAGGCCAGTTGGTGGTGGAAACTAAGCCAGAATCAGAGCCCTTTGATTCTCTCCTGCCTGGGTCCTTGACACTGTGGTACGAGGCTCTTACTTTTGCCTCTAGTATTAGGATTGGGTTCAGCCTTTTCGCAGCAGAGAACCCATGGGCTGCTACACTAACCAACTCTGAAGAGGCAGTGTCCCTGGAAAAGGAGAGCTGGAGCCAGCTCTCAACCATGCTCACAAGAGATGGCTGGGGCCCTGTGGGTGCCAAGTCCATTGATACATGGAGAAAATTTACGCATAGCCAGGGAAAAGTGAAATGTCTGAGAAAACTGTGATGGAAGTCTGGGCATGGTGGCTCACGCCTGTAATCCCAGCACTTTGGAAGGCCGAGGCGTGTGTATCACCTGAGGTCAGGCATTCGAGACCAGCCTGGCCAACATGGTGAAACCCTGTCTCTATGAAAAATACAAAAATTAGTCAGGCATGGTGGTGCATGCCTGTAGTCTCAGCTACTCGGGAGGCCGAGGCAGGAAAATTGCTTGAACCCGGGAGGTGGTTGCAGTGAGCCGAGACTGTGCCACTGCACTCCAGCCTGGGCAACAGAACGAGATTCTGTCTCAAAAAAAGAAAAAAGAAATAAAGAAAAGAAAACTGTGATGGAGGTATGTTTAATAAGAGTGAGGTTCCCGTGACTCTCAGATGATATGGCTGTATCCCCTAACTTTCTTGCCCTCTGTCTATACTATTGTCTTGTGGAGACAGGTTACTTCACGGCAGGATGCCTGTTCCTGTGTACAGTGGCTCTGGGTTCATAGTGTCTGAGGATGGGCTCATTATTACCAATGCCCACGTTGTCAGGAACCAGCAGTGGATTGAGGTGGTGCTCCAGAATGGGGCCCGTTATGAAGCCGTTGTCAAGGATATTGACCTTAAATTGGATCTTGCGGTGATTAAGATTGAACCGAATGTGAGTATTTCAGGGCTGAGTCAGAGTCTGCATATTTGGAGATTTTTATCTATTTGCTGGTATTTTCTGCCCCACTACACTCTCACACCACATCTTTTCTGTCAAATATATGCTTTTCTCTGGTTTCTTTCTGTTCTTTACTCCTTCTTATTTGCTTCAGTGCCTTTCTATATATCCCTTACCTTTTCTTTTCTCTTTTCTTTTATTCTCTTTTCTTTTCTTTCTTCTTTCTTTTTGAAACAGTTTCCCTCTGTCGCCCATGCTGGAGTGCAGTGGCTCAGTCTCAGCTCACTGCAACCTCTGCCTCCTGGGTTCAAGCGATTCTCCTGCCTCAGTCTCCTGAATAGCTGGGATTACAGGCGCCTGCCACCATGCCCGGCTAATTTTTGTACTTTTAGTAGAGACTGGGTTTTACCATGTTGGTCAGGCTGGTCTCAAACTCCTGACTTCAAGTGATCTGCCTGCCTCGGCCTCTCAAAGTGCTAGGATTACAGGTGTGAGCCACTGCGCTTGGCCTCTAACTGTTTCTATTAACTATCAAGCAGTCTTTTTTTTTTTTTTTTTTTTTTTTTTTTTCTCCCCTCCTTCAACTCCTTCTTCAACAAACGCTGCTTCAGGGAAAATTATTCCTCTATTTGTCTTAGGATATCAGAAATTACTGCAATGGACTCAAAGTTGCTAAGGAATACTTTGAAGTCCTTACTACACATAGTACTCATGGTGTGCACATCAGATATATTGACATGGTGTTTGAGAGCTTTTTAGAAATTCAGTCTCACCCTTTACCCAGACAGATGTGCTGACTCAGAATCTGCATTAACATAACATCCCGAGGTGATTTGCACGCACATTACAGTGTGAGAAGTGTCACCCTGGGTGATCTTCTTTCTGTTTGTGGCTTATTCACTTTGACTGTTAAGCTTCGAGCTGGAATGGTGCTGTGTAAATTGCTAATGTCAGTTTATGTTCATCAGTGACTTCACTGGCTGTTTACTAATAGTAATTTCTATAAAGTAATTGTTTTAGATCTTAGAAATGGTCCTAGTCATCTTAACAATTGAGAGCTTCACGGTAGTTGGACTTTGAGGAAGAAGTAGAAGGCAGTCATAGAAGCTGTGTGAGTGGGTGCTTCTCAGGTGGTAAGGGCCAAGGTGATGGAGACAGCATCATATATGTGTTAGACACACACATTGGTCACTTCTGATCTTGATTTGTTCTTTGCCCTTTCTGTCCTCCTCATGCCTCTCTGGGCACGTGCAGGCTGACCTTCCTGTACTGATGCTGGGAAGATCCTCTGACCTTCGGGCCGGAGAGTTTGTGGTGGCTCTGGGCAGCCCAGTTTCTCTGCAGAACACAGCTACTGCAGGAATTGTCAGCACCAAACAGCGAAAGGGCAAAGAACTGGGGATGAAGGATTCAGATATAGACTACGTCCAGATTGATGCCGCAATTAATGTAAGTCACTTAGGACAGAGGTGCCCAACCCGTGGGCTGTGGACCAGTACAGGTCCATGGCCTGTTAGGAACTGGGCCACACAGCAGGCGGTGAGCCACGGGCGAGTGAGAATGACCGCCCCGAGTTCCACCTCCTGTCAGATCAGCGGCGGCATTAGATTCTCATAGGAGTGCAAACCCATTGTGAACTGCACATGCAAGGGATCTAGGTTGCATGTTCCTTATGGGAATCTAACTCATGCCTGACGATCTGAGGTGGAGCAGTTTCATCCCAAACCATCCCTCTTTGTGGAAGAATCGTCTTCCACAAAGCCGATCCCTGTGCCAAAAAGTTTGGGGATTGCTGACACAGGAGGCCTATCCTCGGATCACACAATATTGGCAGTTCAGTGAGAAGAATATGTCAGAGTGAACTTTGGCCTTTTGGGAATGTCCAGGTTTGGTTAAATTGCTGAGGGAGGAATGGAATGCCACTTTGTTAGAGTCTGTCCTGTTCAATGTGATCACTGGCATCCATGCTATTGGGTGGTCTGTTGTGGAGGTCACCTTTCCTGTAAGAAGGTGGTGGTCCCTTGACTGGGCGTGGTGGCTCTCACCTGTAATCCCAGCACTTTGGGAGGCCAAGGTGGGCGGATCATGAGGTCAGGAGTTCGAGACCAGTCTGGCCAACATGGTGAAACCCCGTCTCTACTAAAAATACAAAAATTAGCCGGGTGTGGTGGCGGGTACCTGTAATCCCACCTACTCAACAGGCTGAGGCAGGAGAATCACTTGAACTGGGAGGCAGAGGTTGCAGTGAGTCGAGATTGTGCCATTGCATTCCAGCCTGGGCAACAGAGTAAGACTCCGTCTCAAAAAAAAAAAAAAAGAAGAAGGTGGTGGTCCCACTGCTATAGTTCTTTACCTACACTTACTTTGGTATTGGTGATGATAGGGGCACAATTTTGCCAGCCAGAGGGGAATAGGAGCTTACTAGAGTGGGCTGCTTTTGGTAAACTGTTTTGGGAGCTGTGTATAAAGGACAAGGGAGCATGTATTCATTGGCTTCACTGATGTCTTTTTCAAATTCCGCTTTTAGCCTGGGAATTCTGGTGGTCCTCTGGTGAACTTGGTAAGTGATCACTTTCCTTGTTGCTTCATGTTTCCTCTTAACTTTCAAATACTTTATTAATTCCAGGTCAGGGGTGGTGGCTCAAGCCTCTAATCCCAGCACATCTGGGATGATTGCCTGGGGCCAGGAGTTTGAGACTAGCCTGGGCAACACAGCAAGACACCGTATCTACAAAAACAAAAACAAAAAAGGACTTTACATTTTCCATGATGCAGACTCGGGTGCCACTCTTGTGTAGAGAGCTGTGGAATGGTGCTTTTCTGTTCTTGGACCTTAAATCAATAGTTAGAAAAAATTCAAGCTTGTTATCCTGGTGTGTGATCTCATCCCACTGAGAACACTGGGGTTCTAGCTCTGGCTTCCTTTGAAATTTCTCTCTTCCCCATGCTTTCTGTTTTCATTGGCTAGTTACCAAAAGCCCTGGATTTTATTTATTTATTTATTTAATAGAGATAATGTCTCACTATGTTGGCCAGGCTGGTCTCGAACCCCTGAGTTCAAGTGATCCTCCTGCCTCGGCCTCCCAAGATGTTAGGATTATAGGCATGAGCCACCACACTGTGCCAAAAGCCCTGGATATTAAACCCAGGTTTATGCCGAATGACCAGCTTTGCTATGAAATGTAGATCCTTGAAGACCCCCTGATGCTGCATATGAAGAACTGTCTCTCATTTAAAAATGCTAATTACATAACGTCATCTGTCCAGGTTTTTAGTCTTGACCTCTTGACCTGCTTATAGATGAGAGAAAAGCCACAACCAGCACTCCTGACTTTAAGTGAGCCGCCTGCCTTGGCCTCCCAAATACATTGCTGTGTCATATGTTCTTAAATTGTATTCCATGTCTCTAGTGGAAATGCCAGGTTTTCTAGTTGCTCAAATACATGTGAACACCTGAAAGAGTGCAGTACTGTTTGACATATAGCATGCGATCATCCTTTCTCAGTCCCTTTGCACTGATTGCTTTTGGTTCCTGTTTAAATATTACATTTGCTTTTAGAATGAATTTTATGCAAAATGATTGTTTTTTTTTCTTTTTCACTCATAGCATTGCATGTCATTTTTGTTTGTTTTGTTCCTGCCTTCTCCATTAGACAATGAGTTTACTAGAGCAGGGATGAAATGCAGAATTTCAGGCCATACCCCAGACCTACTGAATTACAATCTGTAGTTTAACACAATCAGAAATCTCTTTTCTGGCTGGGTACAGTGGCTCACTGCTGTAATCCTAGCACTTTGGGAGGCTGAAGCGGGTGGATCACCTGAGGTCAGGAATTCAAAACCAGTCTGTCCAACATGGTGAAAACCCATCTCTACCTAAAATACAAAAAAAAAAAAAAAAAAGAAAAATTAGCTGGGCATGGTGGCATGCGCCTGTAATCCCAGCTACTTGGGAGGCTGAGGCAGGAGAATCGCTTGAACCCAGGATGCAGAGGTTGCAATGAGTCAAGATTGCACCAGTGCAACACAGCTTGGGCAACACAGCGAGACTCCATCTCAAAAAGAAAAAAAAAAAAAGAAAAGAACAAAGAAATCTCTTTTCTATCCTTTCCCATTACCTAAAAGGCTACAGGAAGATGAGGTGCATAAAGAGGAAAATACTTTCTACCTCCTACCTTTAGCTTAGCAAAGCTTTGTTCCCTAAGATCAATTTTGCTAATTCTTCTGAATAGTTTCAGTGCAGTGTTGCTGACAATCCCACAGCTTTTTACCTTTTCCATGTTTATTTTTAGTTTTGGTTAAATAATAAAAAGGCAAATGCTCCTTGTCCTACCTTTGTCCAAACACAAACTGTGGCTCACTTTTAAAGTCAATGTAACTTACTAAACGAAAAAAATGAGCTCAATAATTTTTTTTTTTTTTTTGGGATGGAGTCTTGCTCTGTCGCCCAGGCTGGAGTGCATTGGCGCGATCTCGGCTCACTGCAAGCTCCGCCTCCCGGGTTCACACCATTTTCCTGCCACCATGCCTGGCTAATTTTTTATATTTTTAGTAGAGACGGGGTTTTAACGTGTTAGCCAGGATGGTCTCGATGTCCTGACCTCGTGATCTGCCCGCCTTGGCCTCCTAAAGTGCTGGGATTACAGGCGTGAGCCACTGTGCTCGGCCATGAGCTCAAGATTTTATTTTATTTATTTATTTATTTTATTTATTTATTTTTTTTGAGACGGAGTCTCGCTCTGTCGCCCAGGCTGGAGTGCAGTGGCCGGATCTCAGCTCACTGCAAGCTCCGCCTCCCGGGTTCACGCCATTCTCCTGCCTCAGCCTCCCAAGTAGCTGGGACTACAGGCGCTCGCTGCCACGCCCGGCTAGCTTTTTGTATTTTTTTAGTAGAGACGGGGTTTCACCGTGTTAGCCAGGATGGTCTCGGTCTCTTGACCTCATGATCCGCCAATCTCGGCCTCCCAAAGTGCTGGGATTACAGGCGTGAGCCACCGCGCCCGGCCGAGCTCAAGATTTTAAAAAATCCTCAGCATCCTTGATCCTTTGGCCATGAAAAAAAGGTAACTTCTGTGCATGTGCAGTTGCCCTTTGCCCTATAAAGGAACATCCGTTGCTCTCTTTTGAAGAAGTACAAAGTTCCTCTCTGCCCGGTTTTCTTACCCTAAGTAACTAGCTTCACTCCTTCCTCTGTATGTTCTGGTCTTGCACTCGTCAGTCTGCAAAACTTCATGACTGAATGATGTCCCCTCCCTTGCCAGGATGGTGATGTGGTTGGCGTCAATTCATTGAGAGTGACTGAAGGAATCTCCTTTGCAATTCCTTCAGATCGAGTTAGGCCGTTCTTGGAAGAATACCATAAGCGCCAGTTGACAGGTAAAGCAAGTTGGGATGTTTTTGTTTGTTTCCTCGTGCTTTTCAGGAACATTCAATCTTTTGTGGTGACAGCAATTTTTTTGTTTTTGTGTTTGAGACAGAATTTTGCCTGTCATCCAGGTTGGAGTGCAGTGGCGCGATCTTGGTTTACTGCAACCTCTGCCTCCTGGGTTCAAGCAATTCTCCTGCCTCAGCCTCCCGAGTAGCTGGGACTACAGGCACCCACTGCCACACCCAGCTAATTTTTGTATTTTTAGTAGAGATGGGGTTTCACTATGTTGGCCAAGCTGGTCTTGAACTCCTGACCTCCAGTGATCCGCCTGCCTCGGCCTCCCAAAATGCTGGGATTACAGGTGTGAGCCACCACGCCTGGCCCAGAGACAGCCATTTGAATCCTGTAGACTACTGGGTCACTCACTTGTACGCAGCTCCTATAATGGTGATTTGAGCAGCACTGTTTGGGGGACTAGGCACAAACCAAGCATGAGTTGTACCCAGAAATATTTGGATTGAGCTAATGTGGAAATGAAACCCAGGGGCTGGAGGCAGGAGGTGGGTGGGAGGAGTGTAAAAGTGCTAATGACAAAGGTTCTCTGAAGCCTGTGTTTCATCCAGGTAACCTAAAAGGATAGCTATGATGGCAAAGAGATCCTGGGACATGGGTGTCTGTTAAGCTGCGGTAACAGGAAAGAGGTTTTGTTGTAACACATCATAACTTTCCTTTCCAGGAATGGTGTTTTCAAATAAGAAATATCTGGGTCTGCAAATGCTGCCCCTCACTATGCCGTAAGCATGTGTTTGAATATGTCTGGGTTGTTTTTCAGAGGCAAAAACCATAGCTGCACAGTCTTAACAGAAAAGCTGAGCTACTTGGACCACAGCCAGGTACTCTTGTGACCCTAGGCCCTATCTGTCTCAGCGTATGTATCTGCCTCTGCCTGTGTCAGCACTAACTATACATAGTTTATTTCATTGTGGCTGTATTTTATAATGTCCAGTGGTTCTAGGCTTTGGGATAGAGGCTCAGCCCGAACCAAGAGAATGACTGTGATTAGCTTGATGGAATCTTCCCTGGCCTTTGTGAGCCTAGAGCAGAACAGAGTACCTACTAAGAGTCTCAGGCTTTTACCAGGGCTCAGAAGACTAATTCATTGTTTTCTAATCTTCTCACTTCTCTTAGCCTTAGTAAAGAATTGAAAATACATTATCCAGATTTCCCCGATGTGAGTTCTGGGGTTTATGTATGTAAAGTGGTGGAAGGAACAGCTGCTCAAAGGTAAGTGAAGTGAAGGCCTTTGTCATCTACCTTTGCTTTTACTAGATGTGTGCCATGGTAAAACACATGGGAGATCCAGACTTGATCTGTCCAATACAGTGGCCACTACCTACATGTAGCATGTACTGAACACATGAAATGTGGCTGGCGTGACTGAGGAACTGAATTTTGAATTAAATTAAGTTTAATTTAAATAAAAAACCCCAGGTCAGGCACAGTGGCTCATGCCTGTAATCCCAACACTTTGGGAGGCCAAGGTAGGCGGATCACCTGAGGTCGGGAGTTTGAGACAAGCCTGGCCAACATAGTGAAACTGTCTCTACTAAAAATACAAAAATTAGTGGGTGCGCCTGTAACTGCAGCTACTTGGGAGGCTGAGGCAGGAGAATCGCTTGGACATGGGAGGCAGAGGTTGCAGTGAGCTGAGATCACACCACTGTACTCCAGTCTGGGCAACAGACCAAGATTCTGCCTCAAAAAAAAAAAAATAAAATAAAGATATTATCATTGTGTAGTAGTATATTGGGGTGTGTGTTATTTCAAGTGGATTTCAAAGACATAGGAAACAGAGTGTAAAATAACTATTTAAAAAATATCACGTTATAATGATAATATTTTGGATATATTGTGTTAAATAAGATATATTAGTAAATTAAATTCATCTGTTTAAAAATTTTTTAAAATGTGGCTACATGAAAATTTAAAATTACATATGTGGCTTGCACTGTTGTCTATAGGACAACAGTGGTACTTGGGTACTTATAAAGGCTTTTTTTGTATTTTGGGAGGGAGGTGGTTCTCTATAGTCTAAGAAGAGTTCATGTTATGAATTAATAGCATAAGTTTAAATTAATTTGGCTAGGAATTCCCAAATCTACCCTTTCAATATTAATAGTTATTACTTAATAACTATTAAGTGATTAACACCTATTAGGTATTAGTAACTAACTATTCATTAATAGTTTTTTTTTTTTCCTTTTGAGATGGAGTCTCACTCTTGTTGCCCAGGCTGGAGTGCAACGGTACGATCTTGGCTCACTGCAACCTCCACCTCCCAGGTTCAAGCGATTCTCCTGCCTCAGCCTCCCGAGTAGCTGGGATTACAGGCACCGGCCACCATGCTTGGTTAATTGTTGTATTTTTAGTAGAGACAGGGTTTCACCGTGTTGGCCAGGCTGGTCTTGAACTGCTGACCTCAAGTGATCCACCCACCTTGGCCTCCCCAAGTACTAGGATTACAGGTGTGAGCCACTATGCCTGGCCCATTAATAGTTATTATTAAGAATGGGAAGAATTTAAAGTGTTAAAGGTTTGAGTATATATTTTAGGTTTTTTTTTTTTTGAGATGGAGTTTCACTCTTGTCACCCAGGCTGGAGTGCAATGGCGAAATCTTGGCTCACTGCAAACTCCGCCTCCTGGGTTCATGAGATTCTCCTGCCTCAGCCTCCCAAGTAGCTGCCTTTACAGGTGCCTGCCACCACGCCCGGCTAATTTTTGTATTTTTATTAGAGTCAGAGTTTCACCATATTGGCCAGGCTGGTCTCGAACTCCTGACCTCAGGTGATCCACCTACCTTGGCCTCCCAAAGTGCTGAGATTACAGGCATGAGCCACCGCGCCCAGCCATATTTTAGGTATTTTAAAACAAATTTTTTGGCTGGGCATGTTGGCTCACCCCTGTAATCCTAGCACTTGGGGAGACTGACGTGGGAGGATTGCTTGAGCCTGGGAGTTCGAGACCAGCCTGGGGAACATGGTGAAGCTCTGTCTCTACAAAAAATAAAAATTAGGCCAGGTGCCGTGACTCAGGCCTGTAATCCCAGCACTTTGGGAGGCCAAGGTGGGCAGATCACTTGAGGTCAGGATTTTGAGACCAACCTGGCAAACTTGGTGAAACCCCATCCCTACTTAAAAAATATAAAAATTAGCTGGGTGTAGTGTTCCATGCCTGTAATCCCAGCTACTTGGGAGGCTGAGGTCGGAGGATTACTTGAACCTGGGCAGCAGAGGTTGCAGTGAGCTGGAATCACGCCCTTGTACTCCAGCCTGGGCAATAAAGCGAGACGCCATTAAAAAAAAAAATTAGCCAGGCACGGTGGCTTGCGCCTGTGGTCCCAGTTACTTGGGGAGGTTGAGATGGGAGGATCATCTGAAGTCTGGGCTGTAATGAGCTGTGCTCGTGCCACTGCACTCCAGCCTGGGCAAGAGAGTGAGACCCTGTCTCAAACAAACAAGCAAAAAAAAGAAAAAAAAAAAAAAACTATAGCAAAACCCCACAAAACCTACGTTTTTATTTGAATCCTGAATGACAATATCAGAGGCCAGCACTAAGACCTGTGTAATAAAGCAAAGGCTAGAACAGCTTCCAAAAGAAGGTTCTCCAGCTGATTTCACTGTTGTTTCAAAACATTTAATACTAAGTACTGAGGGAAGAGGTGCCTTGTCCTACAAATATCATTCTCCTGGGCTTCTCTGTTGTACTTCTTCTTCTTCTTTTTTTTTTTTTTTTTTTGAGACAGAGTCTCGCTCTGTCCCCATGCTGGACTGCAATGGCGTGATCTCGGCTCACTGCAACCTCTGCCTCCTGGGTTCAAGCGATTCTCCTGCCTCAGCCTCCCGAGTAGTGGGACTACAGGCGCGCGCCACCACGCCCGGCTAATTTTTGTATTTTTAGTAGAGATGGGTTTTCGGTGTTTTCGGCCAGGATGGTCTGGATCTCTTGACCTTGTGATCCGCCTGTCTTGGCCTCCCAAAGTGCTGGGATTATAGCCGTGAGCCACCGCGCCTGGTCTGTACTTCTTTATTATCCCTTCTCATTGTTTTTATTTTTCAAGAGCTCAGTAATCTGTTTAGATTATGGCACCACTTTCACTGGGGCTTTCCCTCTGGTGAAATCAGAGGGCACTGTTCAGCATAGCAGTCATAGGTCTCATGTTACTAAATTTGGCATATCTCTGGCTTTTCTGGACTTTCCTCATTCCTGCTCTGCTCCACTCTTCCCCCACCTCCTTATTTTTAAGTTCTGGTTCGAGACCAAAGCTATTTCTTTCGGCTAAGTCCTTGCTACTCAGAATGTGGTCTGCAGACCAGCGTCATTAGCTCAGCAGGGCTTGTTGGAAAGGCAGAATCATAGGTCCCACCTTTGATCACTGAATCGGAATCTGCATGTTTAACAAGATGCCCAGGTGATTCACATGTATGTTAAAATGTGAAAATTAGTGCCGGAAGTTGCTGATGAACAGAAATCAGGACTGGGCATGGTGGCTCATACCATGATGTGGGAGGATCATTTGAAACCGGGAGTTCGAGACCAGCCTGAGCAACATAGTTTCTAAAAATAAATAAACAAAATAAACAAAATCAGCTGGGTGTGGTGGCAGGTGCCTGTAGTCCCAAATACTTGGGAGGCTGAGGCAGGAGGATCACGTGAGCCCAGGAGTTTGAGGCTGCAGTGAGCCATGATTGTACCACTGTACTCCAGCCTGGGTAACAGAGTGAGAGGCTGTCTCAAACAAATCTGTTCTTTCTGGCTTTCACCAACTTATACCTAATAATAATGATAATTACACCATTATCTGGCACTTACAAAACTTTTACTATATCTCAGGCACTATTTGAAGTGTTTTATTTTTATTTTTATTTTTTTTGAGACTGAGTTTTGCTCTTGTTGCCCCAGCTGGAGTGCAATGGCGTGCTCACTGCAACCTCCACCTCCTGGGTTCAAGCGATTCTTCTGCCTCAGTCTCCCAAGTAGCTGGGATTACACACCTAGCTAATGATTGTACCTTTAATAGAGACGAGATTTCACCATGTTGGCCAGGCTGGTCTCGAACTCCTACCCTCAGGCAATCCACACGCCTGGGCCTCCCAAAGTGCTGGGATTACAGGTGTGAGCCACTGCTCCTGGCCTATTTGAAGTATTTTATACACCTGTTTGTGCTCCCAACATTTTGTGATATAGGTATTATTTTACAGAGGAAGCAGCTGTGGTACAAAGAGGTTCATTAACTTGTAGAATGCAGTAAATCAGAGAGCAGAGAGCAGGGATGTGGGCCCTGGCTGAACCCTTCTATTATCCTGCTTTGGTGGTTGCTTTTTTGTTTCTGAGAGGCAGAGTGATTTAGTGGCAAGAAGATGGGTTCCCAAGTTTGAAAGACCCAGGATGAAATCCCTCTCACAAGTTGCATGACACAGAAAAAGGTCATTTGTCCTATCTGAGCCATAGTTCCTCATATTTGGTGCATAGGTTATTAGTAATAATTTGTGGGTTTCTTTTTCTCTTTTCTGAATCACAGGACTAGTATGAATTAAGTTCTCTATAAGTTCTTTCTTTGTACTTACTGGTCCTAAGTCATCCACCTAAACTGTCCTTGTTCTAAGATTATTTCTTGATTTTAGTTTTATACTTAAGCATCTCTTCACATCCTCTTGCATTAAACTTCTTCTTTTTAAACTCCACATATCTTGATCAAACCACATTATCATTCTTCCTTGAGCTTCCCATTTCTATCAAATGGTGTCTCCTGGAGTCATTTGCTGTTCCTTTTTCAGCCTATTTTTACCAAATCACTGGCATGGCTATTTCTGTATTGTAGTGTTTTGTATTTGGAGCTGGTTTTTGCTTCTAGAATATATAGTCTATGTGAAGCAATTAAGTTGAAGGCAATAAAGTCACAACTTTGGGGAAAAGGAGCCTAGAGCCAGAGCTTGAAATATTTAGACTCAGAAGGTTGGCGGGTTTTTGATTTACTGGAAGCAGAATTTCTATAATGCAGCTCAGCATCCTTCCCAGCTCCATAAGCTGGTGAGCCAGGCAGCGGGGTGGGGGTGGGGATGGGGGGCGGGTGGCGGGGGAAGACGGGCAAGTGAGTGGGCTGCCAGAATCAAACTGAGCCGAGTTTAAGTGTCTGGGAGAAAACATAGCACTTGGGCTTTTCACTTTGGCTGCTGAAGCTGGGAGTATGTTTGAAGTTCACAGAGGTCAGGGACTGAGAGAAATTAAAAGCTAAACTCCCCCTTCCAAACCAATTCCAAAAAATGGGAGGAGTAAACTTCTCACATGATTCTGATAGGAAATTAATTTTATAAAGGTAAAGGTAAACTGTCTAGAGGACAGTTGTCCTCTAGGGATGTTTTTGCAGCATATTTTAGAATAGCTTTATGATTTGGAAGGATTGAGGCTATTTCTGGTTTGTATGCTTAATGCCAGCAAAATAGTGCCATTAAGACAGAGATATTATAGATGGGGATAAGTAAAATTCTTCTTGTAGTTTCATGGTTCTCTTTTTTTTTCTCTCTCTCAGCTCTGGATTGAGAGACCATGATGTAATTGTCAAGATAAATGGGAAACCTATTACTACTACAACTGATGTTCTTGAAGCTCTTGACAGTGATTCCCTTTCCATGGCTGTTCTTCGGGGAAAAGATAATTTGCTCCTGACAGTCATACCTGAAGTAATCAACTAAATATCTTGTTTTAAAGTGGGATTATCTAAAACAAAAAACAACAAAAAAACCCCCAGTTATATCACCTGGTTTGGAGATGTGCCAAACATGGCAAGAGGTTTTTGGATCTTCTTCTTATAAAGAAAAATGGATGGTATCAACCCAAGTGCCCATCGATGACAGACTGGATAAAGCAAACGTGGTACATATATACCATGGAATACTATGCAGCCATAAAAAGAACAGTCCTCTGCAGGGACATGTATGGAGCTGGAAACCATTATCCTCAGCAAACTAACACAGGAATAGAAAACCAAATACTGCATATTCTCACTTATAAGTGGGAGCTGAACAATGAGAACACATGAACATAGGGAGGTGAACAACACATACTGGGGCCTGGCAGGGGGTAGGGTAGAGGGAGGGAGAGCATTAGCAAAAATAGCTAATGCATGCTGGGCTTAACACCCAGGTGATGGGTTGATAGGTGCAGCAAAGCATCATGGCACACATTTACCTATGTAACAAACCTGCACATCCTGCATGTGTACCTCAGAAATTAAAAATAAAAATAAAAATGGTAATCTGTTGTGAGATTACAATTAAAAAATTAAAAAATGGAGTTTGAAACACATACACATTCAGGGATCATTAGGTTGGGGTACTATGCTGTTGCTAAGATGCCTATGTCAAGTGGAAGAAGAACAGTGTCAGGAAATCTAGGGGAACTGATAACATTTTATTAAAGGTAAGAAACAAATAAAAGACAGGCAGTTTCTAATTTAACCTTGAGAGGACACTGTAGTATTTTAAACCTTTATAGCCATAAACTAGATATAATACACACATATACAAATAGATCTACCAAAATTTAAGAAACAGCCTGAATAAAGTGCAAAGGCAATCAATTGTTAAATAATACTCCTTTAATCCATCAGGTTTTCAGGTTGTATCACATTTGGCCAGGTTTGTGGGTAGACGGATGATGGGTGTCATTTAAAAGTCAAATGAAAACTGGTAATTTTGGATTGTCACATAGGAATATTGATGATTCTCAGCACTCTAGCAGTGAGAACAACTTTTGTCTCCAGCAGCTTTTCTGACTGTAAGAAGGGCATCTTCAGTAGTTTCTAGTCTTTTTCCCTTTTAACTAAGTTCTCACCCCTGGCAACATAAATGACTTTAAGCCTTGGAGCTGCAAATTTTTTTTTATTTTGGGGGGGACAGGGTCTCATTCTGTTGCTCAGGATGAAGTGCAGTGGTGGGATCTTGGCTCACTGCAACCTCTGCCTCCTGGGTTCAAGTGATTCTCTTACCTCAGCCTCCCGAGTAGCTGGGCTTACAGGTGCACGCCACCACGCCTGGCTAATTTTTGTATTTTCACTAGAGACGGGGGGCGGTCTCACCATGTTGGCCAGGCTGGTCTTGAACTTCTGACCTTAAAAGATTCACCTGCCTCGGCCTCCCAAAGCGCAGGGATTACAGGCTTGAACCACTGTGCTGGGCCCAAAGTTTCTTATTTTTTAAAGAAAACAACTTTTGGTAGGGTTATGAATATACTTAGGAGGTTAAAAAAGTGTGAAATGAGGCAGGACTTGGTTAGGTGTAAAGTAGCATCTTATTTTGGGTAATATAATTTGTTTATGTTTTTTAGACTTCCCTTAGTTTTAAAAAATATATATATATGGCATCCTTGAACTCCCTTAAACTTTATTTGTATAAATTTATGGGGTACCAGTACAATTTTGTTTCATGTATAAATTATGTAGATGAACCCCTTTAAATTCTATGTAAAATCTGTGTATGCGCATATTTCTGGGGAGAGTCTAGTTTCTTCATGACCCATAAAAATTTAATAAATACTGTCTTAGGGTATAGAGATTATGAATTAAACGTTTACCAATTGTTATGTGATAAGCAAGGTTAAGGTCAGTGTGGTACAGAACTTTCAAGACAGAATAGGATCATCTGTTTCAAATTTTTTACAGAAAATTGCCACCTTTAATAATGTAAAAACAGTGATCAGGAATGATAAAGCAAGAAATTCTTAGGAAAGCTACAAAATGATAGAATGTATCCAGGGAAGTTACTTTAACTGGGATATCTGGTTTTAAATTCAATTATTATGAGGTAAACTGTGAGTGAGTTCTACCTTGTTTCTAGAATTTGTAAGTTATTCTGAGTAACAGCCTCTTCCATTGAGTTGGCCACATTGCCCACTTTTGATTTTATATTTCATCGTTCTTTTCAACTTAGATTGCAAAGGATGGGAACCGAGTTTTTAAAACCACTTACAATTTGGAACATTTCCTTTTATTCCTGGCGATTTGGGAATGCAGAAGTGTGGCTGGATCTCTGATTGCTGCAGCCCACAGGGAGAGATTTAGTACCGTCCTTTTTGAGAGAATGTGCTAAGTTTCTCTTTGCTCCCATAAATCATGTCCTAATTTAGTAGAACTGTGTTTTTCTTTTCAAAGGCATAAGGCTCCTTGCTTTATCTCACCTAATCACGAAGAATAGTTTTACGGAAACTTGTATGAAATCTTAATTTTATTAGCATGGGCTGGTAAATGCTAATTTACAACATGGGCTGGTAAATGCTGATTTTTAGATTGGACAGCTCTGCCAGGAGGAATAGCTCAATTCACACATCTGATGCCGCTGGCTTTCAAAACATAATTGGAATAAAGAAATTATCGCACTGCATATACTGTCTCTGGAACATAACGGAGACACAAGAGGGCTCATTTCAAATGACTAGGTTTCTGCAAAACAAATATAATTTTGAGTTTACTCCCTCTACTGAAAATACTCATACAGTACTCTAGGTTGGCAAAATTTATTCTGCATTTAAATTCAGAAAGTCAGAATTTCAGTGTGTATTACAATCCATGGCCATTTCTATTTCTGCTGAAGATTTTCATTGTTCAGCTTCAGTTCTTGCATGAAGACTCAGGGTCACAAGAGGAACGTGGATACAAATATTCACTTTGCTCAACTTGTTGGGTCCGCTTGCTCCAAAGGACTGAAGATATAGCTAGCAATGTACAGAAAGGAAGACTATGGAAACCCATCCACAGCTTATAAACTCGTCACTATCCTTTATGTTTTGTGCATGACGAAAGGAACAAATTAGATTCCCACAACACTTTTTGCTTGTCATTTCGTCTGCAAGGTAAAATCTGGTTTGAAATTCCAAAGTCTGAACAAGCCTTCTGAACCAAACAAATGCCCTCCAAAGAGGGAAGATAACATCAGGTCTGATATCAAAGAAGAGTTTTGAGCCTGTAGAGATGAATTCAGAAGACAGAGCTTTCACCTGCCTCCCTGGGCCACGACGGCAGCTCTTTTTAGTAAACAGTGCACCAGTTGCTGCCATCACTTGGCATCAGCCCTCCAGTAATTAGCAAAATAAGGTCAACAAACCACCAAATCCCAAGTCCTCCAAGTGTCAACAGCTTCCCTACTGCAGTGCCAGTGTGTCCCAAACAGAATCGATCCACGCCAAAACATCCCAGGAAGAAGGAGTAGAGTAAAGTGGTTATGAAGTAGTGTCCGGTATACCTAGGTGAAAAGAACGAAAAGGAAGATGTTTTACTGCACAAAAATTTAAACCCTTAAAGATTAGTGAATTTAACATGAGTGATGAGAAGGTGCAGTGTCTCCTCTGTGGCCTTTTATCCTCCATTTTGTTTTCTTTTACAATATGGTCAATGAGGTGAGAGGATCAGGAAAAACCAAAGTCTATTATACTCCTAGGTCCTAGAGACAGGAGGCACATCGTGTTACACAGGGCTACCTGACAAAAGATAACAGGGTGGTTGGAAGACAGAAGCGAGGGGAAGGCTTTTGGCCACTATCTTCATTGGGGTTTCTGCAGGAAAGGCAAGACAGGGCAGGACAAATAGTTTAGAATTGGCTGGTTTGAATAACCTCAGCCGGCTCTAAGGTATAGGAGTGGTCCCCGGTTGCCTGGCACTTGGCCCTGAGAAGATTAAGGCAGAGGAATATTATTTCCTGGGGTGTACAGGCCAGAAACAGAAGATATGTCTCTGGACTAGTTTGCATATCAAAGGCATGCTCCTGGTTGGACCCTTTGCTATCTCTAAGAAATGACTAGCTTCAGGAAGGGCAGTCTCTTCACAGCCAGAAAGGTTTTTAAGATGTCAAACATCATAGTGCACAATAATTTAAAAAACTTTTTGACCATGTCGTGGTGGCTCATGCCTATAATCTCAGCACTTTGAGAGGCCAAGGTGGGAGGACCACTTGAGCCCAGGAGCTATAGGCCAACCTAGGCAACGTAGCGAGATCCTGTCTCTACCAAAAAAAAAAAAAAAAAATTAGCCAGGTGTGGTGGAGCACACCTGTAGTCCTAGTTACTCAGGAGGCTGAGGTAGGAGGATCGCTTGAGCCCAGGAGGTCTGTTTGTGCCACTACACTCCAGCCTGGGCAACAGAACAAGACCCCATCTCCCAAAAAAAAAAAAAAAAAAAGCATTTTTTATAATACACCCTCTTCACCTTTACTTTACTCTCCAAGACTCTCTAGTTGGTAGAGGGTCTCAACAGAATACTTGCTAAGATATGGAGCATCTCTAAGAACAAATACCGACTTTTGCAGAGTTGGATTGGACAAGAAGTCATCAAGCACATTTGCACAACAGGCACCATGCTAGGAGTAGGAGTCTGGGCTCCCATCCTCCTCTGTAGAGGCTCTTTTCCTGAGACTCAGCTGGCTTCCTGCGTGTAGCTCTCTAAGGTAAGGAAGCACTGTCCTTAAATGAACGCTTGATCTCCAAACACTCTTTCCTGTTGTTTTGTGGCAGTGAAAAGCAAGGGCTTCTTCATAAGGCTCTGCCCCTAGCCACTGTGCTGACACAGCTGCAGTTACTCTAATATTACTAATCATAGCCACAGACTCTTTCCATTAGCAAACTGTATAAGGCAATTCTGTGCCTTCAAGCAGAATTTACAGAAATGACCTTGATCCTTTACCTTTAAGATAAACTGCTTTTCAGAGTGTGGAGCCTACACTTTTTATAATAAAACCTTTATTCTTGAATTACTAAGGCAATTTGCACAAGATTTATATCTATCGTAAGAATTTTGGGGCTAGATCATCTGGCCTAAAATTCTGTAGATGAGGGATAAACTGAGTGCCCAAAGGCACTTAGCAAGTTGGAGAAAAGAGACAGTTAGAACTTCACCTTCTGGGCTTAAGTCCAGAGTCCTCTCTACTATAAACATATTGCTTCTATAAATGAATTATGCACAATGGTAGCCATAGACCCTCTTTGGTGGTTAAAAAAAGTCATATCAAAAAATAACAACGAGCTGAGCACAGTGGCATCATGTGCCTGTTGTCCCAGATATTGGGGAGGCTGAGGCAAGAGTATTGCTTCAGTCCAGGAGGTCCAGGCTGCAATAAGCCGTGATTGCACCACTGCACTCCAGGCTGGGTAACAGAGTGAGACCCTGTCTCTTAAAACAAAAAATAAATAAATAAAAAGACAAGGAAAATGGCTCTACCTCCAACCAAGTACCAACTACTCCAATCAAAGTAACACTTACTTTAT